TTCCGTTGCCGTCCACATAATGGTCTCAGTTCACAATAAAGAAAAATCATTAGCCTAATTCCCCAAAAAGTGGAAATGGAAATACTGTAAAAACTGTTGGTTGCTAAAGAATAGCTGGCAACTCATAAACTGCTTACAACCCTCTTCACTGCCTGTTTAAACACCCATTTCAAAATAAATGCTAAGCATCCTAGTTATTCCCATCACTTTCACAATAGTCCGTAAGTACGTAGTGATGGTGGGACATGCTTTGTTTAACACCATTTATTGTTCTGGATGCTTCACTTATAATATCTAATGCTTCTCTTCTTTCCTGACTCTCTCCAGTCAAGCTCAACTTCTGGTGAGTTCATGGACACTACAATCCAGTTTCCCTGGCAACAATATGGAAGTAATTTGTTAAAGCATTTTTTCTAAACCCCTCATCCAGCTACAGCCCAGGAGTTTTCTGGTTGTCTCCCAAACAAGGACTAATCAAGATGTCTGTCCCTATGTAGCTAATTTAAATAAGCTACCGTATTTTTCAGAGTATAAGATGCAGCTTTTCCCCCCCTAAAAGGGGGTGAAAATTTAGGTGCATGTTATACACTGAATGTAGCCCCGCCCACCCACTGGTCCCTACCCTTTGGTCTCTGCCTCCCAGCAGTTACCTCCTTGTAGCAAGCAGCAAGAAGAAACAGTTCGTTTCAGCTTCAGCACAGCCTAATTAGCACAAGTTGATTGGATCGGCCTCCCGACTCTCAGCTGTTTTGCTTTCAGCTGTTTTGCACAAGGCTCTACTGTTTGCTGTAAGGAGGTAAATTGCTGGAGCACATTTTTTTTCCTTGTGCTAATCAAGCTATGCTGAAAACAAAAATGAAATTAAAGCAGGCTGTTTGCTGCAACGAAGCAAAATTGCTGGGAGGCAGAGGCAGATTTCTTTTTCTTGTTTTCCTCGCCAAAAAAGGTAGGTGCGTCTTATACTCCAAAAAATACGGTAAATCATGCTAGCAGGGTTTTCCAGCTTTTTCCCTACTTCTCAGAGGCAAAACTGATGATGACACTAATTATGCTGCTCAGGAACAGAAGTGAATAGGTTGAAGAATTTCATGGATGGTTGGATGGATGGATGGATGGATGGATGGTCTCTTTCTCCTCCTGCTTGGAATGGCAGGGAATTTATTGCTCTATGTTTTTAATTACACTACAGCAGTTCTCTTTAGTATATTTGTTTAAAAATAATCCCATAAACTCAATAGAAACTACAGCCCTATAAACATGCATAAAGTGGCCATGAAGACTAATTGACCACACACTTGTTTCCACTGCAGATGTTTGAGGTCAAATATTTTAATGCTTGTTGGTATCTTAATCCTTAAAATTCCCTAGCAGAAGTTAAATATCTACCCCTTCTAAGGCTGTTTTGTGTCTGTATCATCAACCACTAACAGGATTCCCTTAGCATAGGAGGAAATCCTGGATGTTTTAGAAATGACATACTTGGTTTACATTGCATTCTGTCAACACAGTTAATGCGGCTACAGGACAGAAGAACATGGCCAGGATAATATTGCATTCTGGCAATCTGTGTCTATGAGGAATGCAATCTCTATGTCATCTGGTAAGGCTTCTCTGTTTTGTGTAAAGTTCCAAATGGCACCTCTTTATTTATTTAAGGACTTTAGGTCAAAACCAACACCATAATTGTGCCAAGAAAGGACTTGGAAGCCAGTGCAAATATTGGTAACACGCTCTTGGAAATTCAACCAAGAGGCAAATTACCAGCTTGTGCACTTAGCAAATAGCCAAGCAGTCAGCAAGAATATTTCCACCTAGAGCACATTACAGTAATCTAACTTGAATCACATCCACCAAATCCAGCTTTTAGAAAGGGACACAAAAGCTTGTGAAACAGAGAAGCATGTGTGTTGTTAAAAGAGTATTTACATTTTTAAAAGAACAGCATGTCCAATTAAAATGTTACCATCTGAATGAAGAAAACTACAAACAGATTTCATATGCTGATGTGCGGTTCATTAAAATTATACCGTTAATAAGAGGTATCTCTATGCCATGATAAAGCAATAAACTGATTTGGAGGTAAATTCTGGGAACTGATTCTAGTTTAAAACGTGTCATAAAATAAGTAGACTTGTGATCAAATTGAAACAATTGGACATTTCTTTAACACCTTTTTAGGGTCCTATTCAACATTATATAATTTGATTAAATGTAAATATCTTTTTGTGGATCCTGAACTTCACATGCATCCAAAACATTTTAATAACAATTAGGAATGTTTTCCTGCTTCAGCTTGTGTACCTTGCTGATGTTTCATGCTAGCACTATTTCAAATGTCATCACGCTGCCTTCCAGCTCATTTGGGAGAAGTGACTCTACAAGGCCAGCTGCCAGGAAATCTTTGGCCAAATACATAGGTGAACACATTCTTCTTTCCAGTTCCTAGCTAGAAAACAATCAGTGGCAACTCCTACTTCCTGATGTCAGCAACCACATATATTCAAGCAAGGAGGACTGCCAGTTGAGCTGATCGTAAGAAAACCACAATCAATGCTGATGGCCATTTGCCAGAAATAGCAGCCATTACAAGGTATCTCCATATTAAGCTACTGCATCAGTTACCACCTCTTATTTTGTTTAATGGAGAAAGCGTCTCTGCGATAGGTTGGGTGTGATGCTCATGGGGACAGGAGAGGGAAATCTTTCACCAGCAACCAAATCCTATTCCTGAATGGAGAATCTAGCTAGGGTGAGTTGAGGATCAGAAGTGCCTCCTCTTGTCAAATGCTGGAGTTTGGCAGCGGCTCCCTGATTTTGTTCCAGAATGCTGGTTTTTCTAGGCTGATTCCTAATGCTGAATTTCCATATCTGAAAAATAGATATGGATGCAAGGTTCTTCATTGGATTATCTAATCTTACCGAATGATGTCCCCATCACTACATTTTTGTTTGGCCACCTTAAGGATGAGCCAAAATGTGGTCACCACTTCTACTTGCTCATGATCTGAATGGCACAAGAGTTTCATAGTGGATGTCAGTATTGACTCTTTCATTTTAAGGGAAACATTTGCTTAGATTCTTAACAGAAAGCATGAGCTTTTATTTGAGACAGCAGTTATTCCTTTCTCTCACCCTATTGCCTGTCATAATCTATCCGTCGGAGTAAAAAAGACATTCTCAAGTTAAGCTGAACTTCTAGGATTTCTATTCATATAAACTCAGCCCATGCCCTTTTCTTGGCAACATTATGGAAGTGATTTGCTATTTCTTTCTTCCAAGATGTTTTCTCAACTTTCCAGTTTAGTCTGCAGTCCTGAAATTCTTAAGGGATCTCACATCCAAGGTCATTTCCATACCAAAGACTTATAACATCTTCATTCCATCACTCAGTTATTGCTGTATTGAAGTGATAGAATGTCTGTCCTTACTACTCTTATTCTGGCACAACAATGATTGGATGATTCTAGAATACTCTGGGGGTGCTAGTGGGGAATAAAGTATTAACCAGGCCCAGGTCAGCTTATCATCCAAATGAAGACAAGATTGACCAGGTGCTCCTACATACTGAGATGCCTCTCCGAAATACATTAACGATATGCTATTCTGTATATACAGGGGTGTGTGTGAGAGAGGGGGGGGAGAGAGAGAGAGAGGGAGGGAGGGAGGGAGAGACAATATGCATGAGTTATTATGAATTGATTTTTTTTTTTTTTGCATTGACTGGTGTGAAGTTAATTTGATCAGTTCTGTCTGGTGGGTTTACAACTGGTGTGAGGTAGATATCCATATCCTGGGACAGCTTCCCCTCTCTGTCCGAAGTTAGCAAAGTGAACATGTTCTATACACAATTGTATGCCTTCTTGTTAATTTCATTTCTACAAGGCTACTTTTTTTGTTCTTAATTAATACTGCTGCTATAACTCATTGGCTTTAAAACGCCAAGGAACTGAGAACATGGAAAGTCATACAAATCACTAGTATTCCAGGTAGATGAATATGGAAAGAAAAGAAAGTACCGTATTTAGTGTTGGGTTTATTGTGCATATACATACCTACACATCGCATATATACATTTTAAAATCAGAACAGATTTTGAAATGGTTTAACATTAGTATATCTAATTTATCAGCATTAGTATATTACAATAATATACTAATGATTTCATAATTTCCTATGATTTGGTTGGGACAAAAAGAATCACATTACTTTATTAGAAAAGGAAAAAATAACCTAAATGTCACAAAAGATGTGTAACTTTCAGGTTCTCCATTTCAACAAGATAGGAAGTGTAAGAAGCAGAGGATAAGAGCAAAAAAATAGTAAAAACGTCCAAAGTTAGGTTCCTTCTGGATCCCCTTTACTAAGTTAGCATCTTAAATTCTTCTGCCAGCCCAGTTAATCACCAGTTCTATTTGTACTATGCACAGATCCACAAAGTAAGCTTCACATTGTACAAACCAAGGTTATGTGGTTATTTTATGGTACAGAGTGCATTAGAACCACAGCACCCCAGTTAGGGGAACAAAGCCAATCTATTAGCTAACCAGAACTAGGAACGGAAAAAAAGAGGATAGGAGGGTTCCACCGCCTTCAATCCCTTTCCAACGTCCATGCATTTTCAATCTGAATGTATCAAGGCACCCAGAAAAATCGTGTTCCTAGTATGAAACGAAGAAGTGGATCAGTCGATCCCCAGTGCAGATTCGACCCAGTTCTCTCACTGCATTTCCAGATTTTGGACCTTTCCCAGATGTTCATGAGTTGGAGGACCAGTGGGATGCAACCAATCGATCCTCGACGAAGCCTCCAAGAGACGACGCCGCCGCTGTTATTCTACAGGGAAGTACGAGAAATTCAGCACCGCCGGGCCAGTTCCCCACTCGCAGCAGCCCAAAGCAGCGCAGCACGAGTGGCCGCGGCGCACTAGGGCGTCTGGGGCGCGCACGCACGCGGCTTCCCCATTGGTCCCGCGGACTGGGCCGTCTCCGCCTCCACTTGACGCCGGCCCTGCCGTTTAAATGCCTCCCGACGGGCGCCCGCCGCGCCTTTGGGTCCTGAGCTGGTGGGCTGTTGCGGGCGCGTCGAAGGAGGGAGAGCAAAGCACGCGTCTTCCCAGGGCGGCTTCACTTCTTCCTAGCGGCCGAGGGGCTCGGCTGCTTCCCAGGCAGCCCCATGAAGAAGCCGCCCCTTGGCTTGGCCTCCTAGCCCGCTTTGCGGCGCCAGCCCCAGCCGCCTTTCGCCATGAGCTGTCTGGATGTTATGTACCAAGTCTACGGTCCTCCTCAGCCTTACTTCGCAGCAGCCTACAGTCCTTACCACCAGGTAGGTCGCTGGACGGGCGGTTCCCTCCAAAGGGCGAGGTTGCGTGGGGGAGACTGGCCTGGTAGTGGTCCTATTCGCCTCGGGGTTTATTCGCGCTGTCGACCAATAGCTTCCTCTTTCCCGGAATGGATAAATCCGGGGGGTGGGAGGGGAGGGTAGAGTAGTCACCCTTTTTAAAATGCTCAGATTGCAATGGGGCTGGTGGTCTTGGCGAAGGATTTCGTTTCTTCCAGTTCTTTGTGTGGAGTCGGTTGGGTTCCTTTGCGTAGGATCGAATCTGGGCGGGCGGGCGCGCTACTTCCTCCTGCGGACAACTCCTAAAGGGCAAATCCTAAACGGACTCTTGGAAAGGCCTGCCAAATCGCTGATGTAAACCTTCTGGACCCCCGCGGGATCCGAGCAGATTCACCGCCCTGACCGCCACGATTGGTAGAGGCAGAATTAAAGATTCTTAACTTGCAACTATCGGCTAGCTTTCAACTTAGAAAGGTGTATTCAGAGCGCTCGCTCGGATAGCGAAAGCAGCTAAGCAAACCGGAGCCCGGTGCCATCCGAAATTCATCTACGTCAATTATAATTTAAGCAGTTGTGGAATTTGTCCGCAAAAGCTTCTGCCCCAGAAAACATTTACGGCCCCCTCATTATTTTAGGCTAGGTCCGTATACATAGCCATATACATAGAAGAAGGTAATGGTATCACGTCGGGCTTTAGTACCGGGATCTCACCTGCCAGTAAATCTTTCTGACCTCGAGATATTCTGCATACGTGTTAGAAATTTTTCGTGGGTTTCTAAAATTCGGCTAACCTGCTTTGCAGACTTTTGATACCCCCGCCCACGGCATTAGGTTTTCCATTAGGAAAAAGTGTTCTTCATACTGCGTAACCCATTGTGAGACTAGATACGAAATGGAACTGGTTCTTGCGTCTTCATTTAGACCCGCGGTTTCTGGTCATGCAGACGTTCCTATACTCTCTGTATTCGTGATAGGATGTGACTGACTATAAATTGCTAGCAGGGAATCCTTTAGGATCTTTTGTTAAAAACAATGAAATTCCTGTTTTTAATCGTTTGAACAACCTTTAATCCATGTGATTAGAACAATAATCACATGGATATATATCTATGTAGACGGAATGAGTTTATAGAATAAATTCGTCCTGAGCAGGCCTAATATTGTTATTGTTATTGTTATTGTTTACAGTGACAGAAAAATACTGTTTAATTCTAAACCTGTTAGGATAAAAGAGGATTAAAAGAGGATTTAGAAGAAAATTGCACCTGTTTCTCTTCCCCTCCTCTCCTTTTGTTCAGGAATGAACTGCCGCATTAACTAAGAAATGGGGCTGTTTGGGCCCCCTTCTAAGATGTCTGAAGTCGCAAATATCAAGGAATGAACGCACTGTGCATGCCTAACTTCTGCTTCCCAAGAAATCATTTAAAATAAATTTGGTTTAAATCTTCCGGAAACTGAAATCAATTTTCTACATAAAATGAAGAAATGTGAAAGCAGTGTGTTCATTTGCTTGTTCCTTCACCCTCCACAATAATCTTAAATTTCTCTCCGCTGGCTTACTTTATATAAATAGCAACAAAATTACCCATTGCCATTATTCTATTTTGAAGAATACTTACTTGTAAACTCAGAACAAAGGGTCTTCACCGAGAAGATGCTCCATTTTCATTACCTGCTACCTTGTGGAATTTCAGCGGATTTTGCATTGCAATATTGTCAGTGGCTGCTTTGAAAACCAGGTGTTTTAGAATTCTGGGGCACAGACTTTGTGACATTAAGGGGTGTAACCTACAGTGGATTTTCAGAATAAAAGAAGTAGACATGTGCCTGATATAACCTGAACATCGGAATGGAAGGATTCTGGAAGGGAAAGGTTTTAAGACTGAACAATTTTTCGGCTTGTAATAATGTGCTTTCCTCCTTTCTGGATAGCAGTGGATCAGGTGACATTCCTACATTTTTCTTATCAGAACCCCGGATCAGGGCCAGCAGCCCAACAAGTTGCAGCTCCCAACATGTTGGGATAGGGAGGGCATCAGAATGTACTGGCCATCACAGTTAGTAGCCATTGGTAATCGCTTTCTCCGCGACTGGGAATCCTTCCAGTTGCCCTCTCACTTGACTTTCGAGAGGAAAGCATTGTTGACGTAGAGATTGGTCGAGCCTTGTTTGTTCGCTGACAAAGTCCCATTTGAAAGCGTTTCTCCGATTTAGTTTTCCAGGCACTTAACACTGCATCCGAATCCAAATTATTTGCTTCGGCCCTTCCCAAAAGTAGCAGCTGCAAGCAGCTTAACCGCGGGAAAGCCAACGCGGAAAATGTTTAGCCGATTTTCGAGAGAGCGCTTTCTTTTTCAGAACCTCGTAAATATAACCTGTTCCTTTCCGAAATACCTTTTTCCCTCTATTTGCCACAGAATTTTTTTTGGGGGGGGGGGAATTTCTCCTTTCTCCCCAAAATCTATTTTGAAACGAACAAGTCTCTTGTCTCTTTCATTTCACTGTCTCTCCTTGTAACCAACAAGGGTTTTTCTGCTTGGCTAAATATGGGAAGAGTCCCGTGATTTAAGGACGTCCACCCCGTGAAACGCCCCCTCAAAATGCTCGTGATTCCTAATGCCTAATTTTTCCCAAAAAAGAAATTAAATTAGGACCCTGCAGGCATTTGCTCTGAAGAAAGGGCAGCCTTCTGCCCGAGACAGCAGTCAACTCCGTGATCCTTGAGAATCTGTACATTTGGGACAGAAGTCAAGGCTCTTCAAAATTTATTCTTGGTCGCTCATTACGTAAAATTGATCTAATGAATCCTGTAAAAGTCGACAATCACGGTCTTTCCAGGAGGTTCGGGGTCCCCCGTGTCCAGAGGGTGAAATTTGTTGGATCCGGGCAGGGAAAAACTTGTGGGACTCTGAAGCCGAAGGCACAAAATATGGCTTAAATCGCAATCAGGTTCAACGATCTGTTTAAGAGTAGTTTTCCCTTCCTTATAGTATTTAATGTGCGGTTTTCTTGGACGTCCCTATGCTTTTCGTGTATTCTGGAAGTTTAGTCTGCTAACTCTGTAAACGAGAAAATAAACTTTATTTAGAGTTGGAAATTCTTCGCTGCCTTCGGTCGTTTGGAATTGTTAGGCAGTGATATATGGTCGCCTTCCTTCTCCAGCGTGCAAGTGGGTGGCCTTTTCGACCGAGCCATTCCCAGGCCAGTTTCTCTTCTCCGTGCAGCTCCGCTCAGCCTTCTCGGCTCCTGCCGGCTCCGGCAAACAGCCATTCGGCCCGTTCGAGGCAGCGACGTTTTTCAAAGGTTTTTCAGCCGCGCGCGCTGACCGAAGATCCGGGACCACATCGGGTTTTCCTTTCTCCGAGATTTCCACAGCGAAGGCGGGCGGAGGAACGCTCCCCGGGGAAGTGAACAGGGTGGCAGAAACTCTCCCGAGGCCAATAAATCCGAAGCCGAGCAACCGAAGCTGCGGGGCTCTTCCATCCGGCCTTCGGAAAAGGCAGCGGGCGCGTCCTGGCCAGCTTTGCCCTTGCGAGGCGATTTGTCCCCCCTTGGGCTAATATCCGTCCCAAATGCCTCCGTCTAAGGAGAATTCCCAGGCAGAGGTCGCGAACGAAGCCGGCACCTTGAAACCGACCGACGGCTTATGGCGGTCTTTCTCTCTAACCCTTTGCTTTCTAAAATGTGCTAAACTAGACTACCACTCCCATAAGCCACGCTCCACGAGGGGAGGAATCGTTGGAATTGTTAAAAGGGCGCCCTAGCCCTATATTTCTCTACGCGTGACTTGCGTCCCTTGCGTGGGAGACTCGTGGCAGCGGGAAGCCTCGCGCGCCTTTCGGACAATTCCTTTCCTCGAAGGCGGCGGGTGAGGGGAGGCTCTCAGTCGGCCGGCTGATAGGCCCGGCAGAGTGGAACTCTTCCTAGCTGGTTTTCCCGCGCTTTCACGGCTACGAGGCTTACGGTGTGCTGCCGTAATCACCGTGTTGGAGACTCTCGCCCAGGTCTCTAACCGGCCACCAAGCTCGCGGGGTGGTGACTATGCCAGTTTGCCGTCTGCTTCGTCTCTTAATGCTTTCTCGGGCAGCTTCGCCCAGCCTGGCTGCGGCGATAAATTGTACCCTTATTGGCTGGAGGCGATTAGATGAGCCGCAGCACGCGAGAAAAAAAAGGTAACTGGGAGGGGGGGAAAGCCGCGCTCTCTCCGCTCCCCCCCCTCCCCCACACGCAAGCGTGTTGTGGGATTGAAAATGGGAGCAGACTGCCTGGTAAACCGCCTCGGGCTCCCAGAGGAAAGACAGGCGGGAAGGGCAAGCGTGTTCCGCCGCTCCCGAGACCACCACCACCCAGTGGAGGAAATACTTGGGGAGGGGAGGGGAGGGGAGGGGAAGGCGGCGGGGATCCCTGACCCTGACCGTTTTTGCCTCTCCTTCACAGAAATTAGCCTTTTACTCGAAGATGCAGGAAGCCGCCGAGAGCGCCAGCACCAGCGGCAGCAGCAGCTCCTCCTTCTCCAACCACGCCGCCCCGCCGAGCATCAAGGAGGAAGAGTGCAGTCCTGAGAAAGAGCGCCCCCCCGAGGCCGAGTACATCAACGCCAGGTGTGTCTTGTTCACCTACTTCCAAGGGGACATCAGCGCCGTGGTGGACGAACACTTCAGCCGAGCCCTCAGCCAGCCCAGCAGCTACTCGCCCAGTAGTGCAAGCCTCAAGGCCGTCGCAAGGAGCTCCGCCGCTTGGAGAGGTGAGCTTGGGTAGTCTTCTTCATCTCCGGTTGCCTTTGGGGCTCGCTTTGCCCCAGGGATTCTCCTGTCACCTGAGGCTCAAGAAGATGCAACTCCGCAGAGCTTGCGTCAAGCGGTAGTCAACCTGTGGCCTTCCGGTGCCTTAGGTTATTTATTATTATTTATTTGGTTTGTCAAACATTTACAAGATAACAGGAATGAGTATAAACATGGATATGAATACAGGAAATAGATACGAATAAATGGGGACAGTACGACAAGAACGGTAGGTTACAACTCCCAGAGTTATAACATGAGAGTTAATAGTCCAAGGCATCTGCAAACTGTTGCCTGCCCTGATGTAGATGGTTCCTTTTGGTATTGGGAAATCCACAAATGGGTATATTTCTCAGCTTTCCGGGTTTCTAGGAGATTGCCGTTGTGTGGAGATTTAAAAAACTAAGAAACCAAGTGCTTTTGTTGTTAATGGATAGGTAGTAGTTATACTATGCAAGTTTGGAATACTTTTAAGAGAAGGAGAACATTCCTATGACTAACATGTTCACTAGCAAATAAATGAGTCTGTTTCGATGCATTATGAATTTCATAGAATTCTGACCAGGACTGGCCCTAATGTTAGCCGGAGTGAGACAGTCCTCTCCAAAAAGTCTACCTTGCTTTCGGATGTAACCAATATTGTCCCATCATTATTGTTGAAGAAAAGTTTTTGCTATTCCTTATCTTTGAGGACAAAAAGGCAGGGGAGACATCTTGCAGCAAAATGTCTTGGGCCATTTGATAGCAGCTGCTGAAGAAATGAGGACTAGCAGGGTAGAATTTATATCTTGGGGATAAGTCTCTGCAATTCCCTTCCCTCAACAAGTATCATTGCAATCACATTTAGAAACTTCCATGCACATACTACCAAACTAAGGTGGGGATGGGGTCTATGATAATTAAGATAATTAAGATTATTTTTAAATATAGATTGCTTTAAAGTACAGTATGCAAAGGAGAATAGAATTGATGGTCTGTGGGTTGCTATAATATACTTCAGTTACTATCAAAAATGACTAAAGGCAACCAGATTTGTGAGATTGACTTCATTTTAACAGAATTGCCAATCATAGTCTGACATAAGATGATATAAGAATAACGAATTTGAACCCAGGAATATGTTTTGAGTGCAGAACTGAAAGAATATAAGTAAAAGGTTGGCTCTAGTATATTTCATTTCCCAAGTAATTTCTAGAGAGAGAAAAGAGAGAAATATATCTCCAGTCTATATGATAGAACTGGTAAAGAAGTTTGTGTAAGCAAGATAATTCTTTATTCTCAACTTTGCCTACTGCCTGCTTCTGTTCGTGTTCAAGGTGGATGGTTGGAGGGCAGATCAGTAATATTACTGGATAAAGGTTTATGGTTTGATCTGTCCAGCAGCCTCATCCATGTAAAAACTTGCTTTGGAAAAAGGGAACAGAAAGCAACCTATCTTCACTTTGCCAGAGATGAGAAAGACCCCTGTGACTTTGCTCAATCTCCCCAGCCCTTCCTCCCAAATTATAAGCACTGGTTCCATCCATTAATTAAAACAGCATAATCTTGCCAGATTACCTTCTCCTAAAACTGATTTCAGGCATGTTTAGAGGTAGGAAAACTCATTTGTCTTCTTATGTTGATTGCTGCTTTCCTGCTGGCCAGAGTGAAGAAATTTATTATAGTGCCAGATGATGCTCTGCTTTGGTCAAATAGAATTCTTTGGAATCTTTTCCACTGAGAATTGGATTGCGGGAATAGTTAATAGTTAATATTAGCTGAAAAGGTTGCCTGGTTCATGGATTACATTAAGATATGGCTTAATTTTAGCTTAGTGTCAGTGTGAACCCAGAAGATGTGGTGGTTTATAGTTTAGTATAGGGTGTCACTCAGCAATTCTATTAAACAATCATGGTCTGGCACATATGAATTAATATGTTTAGAACAATGTTTTAATAAAGCTGTGAAATTATACTGTATATATATTTATATAAAGGAAAAATTGATTAGGTAATTGTATCTTTTTTTTTCAAATAGTAAGCTAGGTACATTCATTTATAAATCAATTTATTTGGACACCCATCTTGCAAATCCAATTCTGGGCAGCTAATAATAACATGTTAAAACAATAAAAGCCTATATTTGCAAGTATAAAAATGAACTCTTGTTACTGAGGATGAATCCAGTAAAACAATAGACAGAGATTTTTTCAGTGTACCCAAAATACACGCTGTTTTTATAAATCAAGCTGTGCGTACAAGTGCAGACTAGCTTTTTATTTATTAAAAGGGAAACAAGCAGTATTAAACATAATGTTCCTGTATAGAACACTATAGAAAGATGTTTATAAAATTATCATACCTTAACCAAGATTGTTGAATAAGCCACACCATTCAGTGTTGAAAGACAACAGGCATTCAATATTATCTTTACAAAAAGATTGCTTATACCAGTCCTATATTCTAAGAGAAATGGGGAAAAGAGCTAACCAGTCACTGGGCATGTACGAGATGCCCAGATGAGAATATTTTCTATTGCCAAAATCCTCTAAGATGGTAGTTCTGGGGCTAGCTCTGTGCTGGAAGAACAAGATTGATTACTTTTAGTGAAGCAATTGGTAGATGTGGAGGGCATTAGGGTCCACCTTTGGCACAGTGAGTAGAGCACTTGGGGATCTCCTAGTAAATGTCTATGCCATTCTGAGAATAACTGAAGGCAAGCAGGTAGAGGAGGGTATTGGCATTGTTCTCTGACTAAACTCATCCGGCTTTATTTAAGTCTAACATAAACATTTGTTGGATGGAAGCTTGAAGGAACGGGGCTCTGAAGCTCAGCTGTCTTTCACTCTGTTTTGAATGAAATGAAGCATCTGAGTGTCATGCCTGATCATGGAGAATCCCTTAACATAATCCCAACATCACTTCAGTATCTATGGTTATACCGCAATGGTGGTCTTATAGAAATCGGTCAAGTAATGTCAATATAAGTATAAATGGAAAGCTTTTGCAATCACTCACTTGATTTCTTTCATGGGAACCAAACTTCCTGACTGGGAAAGTTTGTCATTGTCGAGCAGTGCTATTTCAGAAGCACCAGAGTTTCAAATTTCAGCCACAGCCATGAAGAGTGCTGTGGCACCTGAAAGATGAACAAATTTATCATCATGAAAACTTTGGTTAATAAACATTTCACCTGCAGAAAAAACAATTACTACCAATCTGCCTTCCATTGAGGACCTGTATGCTGCACGAGTCAAAAAGAGGGCTGTGAAAATATTTATAGATCCCTCGCATCCTGGACATAAACTGTTTCAACTCCTACCCTCAAAACGACGCTATAGAGCACTGCACACCAGAACAACTAGACAGAAGGACAGTTTTTTCCCGAACGCCATCACTCCGCTAAACAAATAATTCCCTCAACACTGTCAAACTAATTACTAAGCCTGCATTACTATTAATCTTCTCATCGTTCCCATCACCCATCTCCTCCCACTTATGACTGTATGACTATAACCTTGTTGCTGGTATCCTTAAGATTTATATTGACTGTTTCCCTATGACTATCATTAAGTGTTGTACCTTATGATTCTTGACGAATGTATCTTTTCTTTTATGTACACCAAGAGAATATGCACCAAGACAAATTCCTTGTGTGTCTAATCACACTTGGCCAATAAAGAATTCTATTCTATTCTTTAGGAGGCAAAACAAACTCTTTATTTTTATGCCTGAAATGTTTTTTCGAGTTTCACTTGTAGAAGCTGGGATATTCCTCTTCATGACAATTTGTTCTCTTCTACCCTTCCATTAGATCAGGGCTGTCGAACTCGCATCCCATGGACCGGATGCTTGCGATACCCACGCCCGGTTTAGCGAAGGGGGAAAAAGTCACAATACGTCACATGATGATGCCATGACGACGCAAGTTTGACACCCCTGCACTAGGTCCTAGTGACCACAGTAACATTTAGTTTCAGATGCAGGACTACAGTTGCATTCTGAGGGCATCAGGTCAGCTACAGAAACAAATCTACATGCCTCATTGCAGTTGATCCATTAGTGTAATACCCACTCCTGCACCTATGGTTTTACAATTGCGAAGAAGGCATCAAAAACACATTTAGCTGATGCTAAAAGACCGTCAGGTACAGTACAGCCTTCCAGTGTGTGTTGGGAACCTAAAGCAACCAAGCAACACAAAGGATGACGAAATGCCTAGCCAAGGGGAGTCTTATGCTAGTCTTGTGCTGCTTAGAAGGTGATTGTGTCCGCTTTGTGTGGCTAGTTCTGTCACTATTGGATACATTACAAGTTCGTATTGTTCTGTTGTTTTATCATCCCCACAGTATGGAGAGTGAGATGGTCACTTTTTTGCCTATAAGCAGTGATGCTTGATGAGAGGCCAGATATTTCTACCAATCATTTTCCTGAATTTGTGAGAATAAGGCATTGTTCTTTGTCTTCATTACTGTGACTTAAACAAAAGAAAAAGAAAACAAGTTTGGCAATCAAGGCAGCAAATTTTGTGCTGGAATACTTTTCTGCCAGCTCAAGAACTGGTGGATTGCACTTCAGTGCATTCATCTGACAGATCACTGAGAAAAGAAATACAGTACAATAATTTTGCATCCCTAGAAAAAATGAAATGTGTGGTGTCTTTGTGTCTTTCCTTTATGCTTGTGAGATGAATTATAGATAAATGCCCCAAAATAGAGCAGTTTCTTTCCTCCTTTGTCCTCCATCTTTTAAAATTGTTAGGTCTTAGCACACATTATCTAACACGCCTTAGTTTTTAAAGTGGAGGTGAGGAAAGTGTTGCAGTTTATATGCCTCTTCTGCAGAGACAAAGCAACTGGGGGTTCTAAGACATTTTGTCATTTGAAAAACATCCTGGCAACTCAGACATTCTTCTGTGATCACAGTGCTGACCTTAGATTGTTCCCAGTCCATAATCTAAATACCATATACTGTATAGTGGTCCTTCCTGCTTAATTTATCACAACTAACATGTGCAAACTTTATCCTACTTCCCTACACTATTCTTGGGAGTATTGATATAATCACCCAATCTTCAACATTCCTTGCTAAACTCCCAAATGAGAGGTGTCTATATTTTAATAGAGGACTCTTTAATAGAGTAAAATATGCCATTGGATATTTCATAATGAATCAATCTTTAAAATAGCCTTAATTAGTCTTAAAAGTACCACTACTCCTCCCTTTTAAGTGAAAAGGGCAGTTCATTTAGTAAGCTAGTCAGGATAGCTAATCACTAACCTACAGAAGTGTTATATTGGTACACAATGAAATCTTTTACACTAAAAATCCTTAATAAATTATGAAAAACAGAGAGCCGAGCAGTTGGCCATGTTGATTAGGACTGCTGGGAGTTAGAAGTTGAAATGGGACAACTCGCCACAGCCAATTCACCATGCCAACTCGCCATGGTCAACTTGCCATGGCCAATTCAACACGCAACAACTCACCATGGCCAACTCGCCAAGGGACAATTCAATTCAATTATTTAAAATAATTTTAAAAATATTTTAATTTTTGTCATTCACATTTCATTTTGTCCCTCCTATGGCATCCTTTCTTTAATTATTCTATTCCACTATTTCTTCAATATTAGTGTAACTCTTGCCCCAAGGCAAGTTGTCCTGCAGTGAGTTGGTCACAGTAAGTTGGTTGTGGTGAGTTGGCCATGGCAAGCTGGCCATGGTGAATTGTTATAGACTTCTGGATGACACATATTCAATGCTCTTGATTTTTAGAAGATTTTATTTTTAATAAGCTGACCTAACAAATGGGAGCATATGGCTGACCTTGTCGGGGCTCAGAAACTAAAAATGCTTGGTTCTGGTTAGTAAAAGGATATGAATTAATACCAGGGCTTTAGGTTAGACTGTGAAGGTGTTTTTGGGGGGAATCCAGAAAAAGAGAATAGCACTCAGTTCTACTATATTGTTAAACTAGCAATCCAGTTTCACCCAAGAACTAGATGGATGCGCATCTGCAATTGAACTCAGCTTGAAGGAGACATTCTCTTCAGTTATACTATGTTTTAAAAAGATTTCACAAGCTTTATACTTGATATAGTGTTAACTAGATCACTATAACTTGATAACTAGAGGCATTTATAAGCCAGTTTGGTATAGTGGTTAAAGTGACTGGATTAGAAGCCAAAAGACAATTAGTTATAGTCTTGCCTTAGGTATGGAACCCAGCTTTCATACCTAAGTGATCTTGGAAAGTCACTCTGTCTCACTATAGGAAGAAGACAAGAGCAAAGTATTTTTTTAAAAAACATTGCCAAGAAAACTAGGGACTGGTCAAGTTGCCAACAATCAGACTCAGTGATGGGTACTATAGACACAGAAATAAAAAGAGACAGGTGCTAAGAATTATTTTTAATTGATAAGTAACAGAACAATTTCATGCAGAATACCAAACATTCATCTAAACCCAGTTCACGTGCTCTTTTTAAATATAAGTAGAATTTTTAAAATTGTGCAGAGATTTATATTTTGATTTGAAGCTAATGTGAAAAAGAGCCTTGGTAGTACAGTGGTCTAAAGCACCCTGTTATTAACACAGCTGCCTGCAATTACTGCAGGTTTGAATCTTACCAGGCTCAAGGTTGACTCAGCCTTCCATCCTTTCTAAGGTAGGTTAAATGAGGACCCAGTTTGTGGGGGCAATAAGCTGACTTTGTATAAAATATACAAAAGTATGAAGGCTATTGCTTAACGCATTGTAAGCCACCCTGAGTCTCCGGAGAAGGGCGGCATATAAATTAAATTTTAAAAAAAAAAGAAGAATGGAAAGGTACATTGGCTTTATTCTTTGCATCTAGTCATGTTTTGAATAAGTCAGAATGAGCAGGTTTGTACTAAATTACGTTTTATATTAAAGGTGTATAAACCATGTTTGGGTTAACACTAAGCCAAAATAAAACACACATTAGAGTTTCACATACAGTAGTATATGAAACCAACTATTGTTTTAAAAGCATCAAAGTCTTGAAAATTCTTTTGTGGTACTAAACCCTTTCCATATGTGTTCAAAAATAATATCGTATAGATTTTCAGTGTCATTCAGTTTAGGAGGAGAAAATTTACCTTCAAGAATATACTCTCAATTTTGAACATCCGGGTTTTAAATTTATAAACAATTATAACTATTTCAGAATGGAAAACACAGCTCTGAGCTTCCCATTGACAGTGTTGTGATATTCATTTCTGAAGAATAGTTACTTATAAAGTCCTGCATGGCATAGGGCCTGGGTAACTGAGTTGTCTCCAAATGTTTTTGCCTAGCCAGCATGTTTCTGTAGAATGGGTGCATTCCAGTCCCCCACCCCTTCTTCAGAAGTATACTTTCTCTGTTGCAGCTCCCACCCTCTGGAACAGCATCCCCTTGAGATAAAAGATAGCATCCTTTCTCCTGAGGTTCCAGAAAGCTTTGAAACTTGGCTTTGGACCAGGGGTGGGTTCTACTTACCTTTACTACCGGTTTGCAACGGGAATGCGCACATACGCAGATCATCAATTATGATGTCTGGATGGGTGGGCAAGGCCTTCCGCCACTTTTACTACCAGTTCTAAAGAACCGGACAGAACTGGGAGCAACCCACCATGGCCTCTGTTTTGTTTTGTTGGTTTTCTTATTTCGGCCTGGGCTGTCTGTTGTGATATTTTCTCTAGTTTTCTACATCACCCAGAGTCAGGAAGAGACAATGTGAAATGAAGCATAGACACAAGTTATTTAAGCTTTATACCTGCATGATAAGGGATGTGGTGGCTCAGTGGCTAAGACGCTGAGCTTGTCGATCAAAAGGTCAGTTCAGCAGTTCAAATCCCTAGTGCCGCATAATGGAGTGAGCTCCCATTACTTGTCCCAGCTTCTGCCAACCTAACAGTTCGAAAGCACATAAAAAAATGCAAGTAGAAAAATAGGGACCACTTTGGTGGGAAGGTAACAGTGTTCCGTGTGCCTATGCCGTTTAGTCATGCCGGCCACATGACCATGGAGACGTCTTCGGACAGCACTGGCTCTTCAGCTTTGAAATGGAGATGAGCACCGCCCCCTAGAGTCAGGAACGACTAACACATATGTGCGAGGGGAACCTTTACCTTTACCTGCATGATACAAGTAGTTTTTATCATATTTGTTAGAACAAATGCTCAAAGCATTTTATTCGGTTTAGAAATATTAATAACAAAAAAGAAAGCATTTAAGTGTCATCTGTGAAATAAAACAGGTCTGAATAATCTAGTGGGTCATTTTAGGGGAATTGCTTTTGTTTTAAATGCATATCCTGTAAAGATGTAAAAGGCAGAATATATCAGTCTATCTGAGAACTCTTAAAAAGAATAAACTTATTGGTCCTGGTTATAGAACAGGAAAAAGATAATACCTAGAAGATACACCGTTGGTGGTATATAAATGACAAAGAATAGAAATAATTGGCCTCCTATCCTTCTAATGCTGTCTGTTTTGTGCTTGTCTTTCTTTGTACAGAGGGATCTTTTCCTATGAGCCAGCGTAGTTTCCCACCCTCCTTCTGGAACAGCACTTACCAGCCTTCTTCTGTGCCTGCCTCTTTGGGCAGCCCACTGGCAGCTACTGCCCACAGTGAACTGCCCTTTGCTACAGCGGACCCTTATTCTCCAGGCTCACTGCACAGCCACCTTCATCAGGGCCCCCCGGAACCTTGGCACCCAGCTCACCATCATCATCATCACCATCACCACCCATACATCAGTGCGCAGAGTTCTGCTTACCCTCGGCCCACCACAGTGCATGAGGTCTACAGCCCACATTTTGACCCTCGCTATGGTTCACTGCTGGTGCCTGCTGCTTCTGTGCGTCCCCACCGTCTCACTCCTGCCTCGGTGCCCACACCAGTCAGCCCTCAGTGTGAGCTAGGCAAGAATGAGCCTGCCACATCATCATGGACAACGCCAGCTCCTTTTGCTGGTCCTGCAGGAGAGATGGCACAGAGCTTAGGGCTGAATGTAGAGACAGGTAAGACCTGACAGGCAAAATAATTTATTGTGATCAGATTTTTTTTTTCTTTCTTTGAATCCCGGAGACTTTAAATGCAAATTAGGTACCTTCTGGAGGCTTAAAGAACCACTTCAATCCTTAAAAATCCTGATGAAAGCTCAAAATTGGAATTCTGCTTTCTGTCACATTTGGAATTGTAGCTTTTGGTCCTAAGCTGACAAAGGTTCTGTACCCCAGCATTAAGCTATCGTATAATTTACTTGTCTGCGATCCTGACAACAGAACAAGAAAAACGAATTACTGGAATGTGACCTGTTTTGTTACTCCAGCCACTGTAACCTGCTAACCATGCTTTGTGGTTTAGCATAATCTTAGGAACCCAAGCACAATAGTTTTTTTCAATAATCCTTGATTAAACAAACCACGGCTTGCCTAACATAAGATGTGAACAAAGCTGTTGTGTTTCCTCAGCCCTCTCCACATCATTGGTTCTCCAAGAGGGGACAAGGAAACACTCAGCATGATGACATCATGACTCATATTGCATCATGTTACCAGGAAGACAGGAGAAACAGACACAGAACACCAACAGTGTGAGGTCTTTTTTGGTTTCTTTCAGTAAGTGTCCTGAAACTCTACTGCAATGTTTCTCAACTTTGGCAGCTTTTAAGATGTGTGGACTTCAGCTCCCAGAATTCCCTGCTGGCTGGGGATTTCTGAGAGTTGAAGTCCACATATCTTAAAGTTGCCAAGGTTGAGAAACACTGCTCTACTGAATTATATTGTCCATTACTGTCAACTTCACAATAACTCTGCAAGTTAATTTTATTTTTTCCTATTTACTTTGGTCAAGGATCATCATGGCAACTGTTTTTGATGCCAGAAAATAGTCTGAGACTTGGCATTTTTCTACTTTTTTTTTTTTATAAATAAAGAGGTAACTCATTTGTAAACAACTGTCTGACTACAGTATAAGAGGCTATAATGTTTAGTAACTTGTCCAGTGGTTGTACCATCAAGCATGTTAGATTTTGTAAATTCTCACATATGCGTTTATTCTTCATTTCAGACTTCTTCTATAAATCAATTCTTGTGCTTTAAGTAACTTACTCTATTTTTGCAAGCATGTGGGGGTATTTGGCTCTTTCTGTCTTTATTTCATTTCTTTTCTCTTCCCTTTTTTAATTTCCAACTTCTCTCTTTCTTTTTCTTTCTTTTTCTCTCTGCTCTCAGGTTTGCAACCTCAGGATAAAAGCAAAGATCTCTACTGGTTTTAGATTCCACCATGACTTCTCCTCTAGTCAGACTTTTGCCTATGTAGGAGTGGGGACAGAGCCAAAGTCAAGTCAATTTGTAACAGCTTCTGATCTTGGTTTTCAGCTCACCATTATTCCTACTGTGCTGGATCGCTCCTGAGCTGAGCTGCTGGTTATAACCCTCCCTTCCTACGCACAAATGCCAGCTTCATTCTTTGCCTCACGGTTCTGATACCAGCATCTCACATCGAGACAAGAAAAGCGGAATGGCAAAGGAGGCTAAAAAGCTTCTTCAGCTTGGCATTTCTTCTCCTAAAATGGCAAAATTGAACACAACAGCTTCACATTCAGAGGAACTGAGTAAAATGAATGAGGATGTGAAAAACATTGACTTTAGGAAGCTGAAGGGTTTGTTAATATTAGTAAGGACATAAATCATACTTATCATTTGGCATTTTAAAAAAACTGGAAGCAGCATGGAAGATATTTAGGCATTGTGAATGAAGCAGAGTAATTCTAAACTCTTAAATACATTTGGAACATATATATATATATTTTTTATAAAAGGATGGATCTTTCTGACTTCAGCGTGGTGATGAGTGGCAAGTGACTAGTGGGGCCACCTGCCTCCAGGCTTACACAAATGCAGCTGTTCAAGAGACAACTGTTCCAACTCCAAGAACTTGACAATCAAGGTGGCACTTCTCCGAGTTTGGCACAAAAATTGCATAGGATAATACTTATATACATAGTTGTATATATAAGTTTTTTATATAAAAAACATTTATGATGATAGAAAATATCCTTTTAAAAAAACTCTTCCAACTTTCAGGAGAAACAACTGGAGTGAGTGGGAGGGGAGGGCTAATGGGGTAGACAAAAGACTTCATTTAATTGAATGTTCCCTTATGACTTTTTGTAGCAACCAGAAGACGGTCTCTCCTCTCTCATTTTGAAAAGGGTATACAGTATAAGAAGTGTTTATTTGTAGGGAAGATAATTAAAAATGTCTCCTTTAACTTTTGATTGCATTTGTTCTATGAAATAGGTGGAGATTTCAAATGGGAATCCCAATTCTCCCTATTTTTTAATTTTAAAAATTCCATTGATTTGCTTATCATTTAGAAACCATCTGGACCAAGCCAAATAGCAAATTAGTTCAGTATCTCGTTTCCCACCATGACAAAACCTACAGATCAAGCGATAAATAGGCTATAGAGATGCAATAACCCTCTCCTCTTATCTTTAAGCAACTGCTACTCTTGAGATACGATACTTCTGAATCTGGGTGGTGACATACTGTATAAGCATCCTGTTTAGTAGCGACTGACCGTCTTTATCATTTCATTTCATTTATTCAATTTAGGCACTACCTGGCTCCAAACTGACTCTAGATATACAATAAAACCAAACAAAATGGGAATATACATTATAATAAAATTATAAAGTGCCAAGGAATAAGAATGGGAATTAAAAAAAAAAACAAGAACAGATGATGTTTTTGATTAACACCTATACCCTCAAACATCTCGAACAAGGGACACCAACAACCATACCCCAAGGCCTGGGAGAACATTCAAGTATTCAAGGCTTTCTGAAAAGCTATCAGAGTGGGGTCACCTGGACAACACAGGAGATGGGCAGTTTCTCATATAATCTGGTTTTATGCCATGTAGGACTTTGTAAGTCACAATCAGTACCTTGAATGACAGTTGCAACTAAACTCGCAACAGTGCAACTCAGGGAGCAGAAGTGCCACATGGTCATACCTACTCATGCCCATTACTGCCAATGCCAGTACATTTGGTTGAAGCTTCCAAGTGATATTCAAGGGTAGACCTATGTAAAACACATTGCAGTAGTGAAGCCCTAAGGGAACAAGGTATGAGTGACTTCTCTTCCTGATCCAGGAAAAGATGCAATGGGTGCACCGGATGAATAATTTTTTTTTAAAAAAAATTGCCTAAGATTATATTTCCATATAGTGGTATTAATAACTTTTTTTCTTACTTTGGATCTCCCACTGCGACTATAATGAGGAAAAACATCTGTGCACTTTTTCCATACTCTACATTATTTTGAATCGAGCATTATCACACATCCCTTCTTACTATTCTTTCTAAACTTTAAAAAAATGGAGTAGACTTTCCTCAAAGGTGAGTTGATTTTATCATTTGCTTGGTCTCTATATTCCTTTACTGCAATACAGACAGACGGAAGCACTCCAAGTATTGTCCCAAAGGTGCTTTTTCAAGAGGAAACTGGACTTTCTTGTTTTTCTTTGAAGACGTTTTGCATCTCATCCAAGAAGCAGCTCTGACTGGATGGTGGGAATGGAAGGATTTATATTCCTAGCAGAAGCTCGTTTGCATTCTTTTTAGAGAGTTGTTGAGGCCACTTGGAATTTCTCTGTGCCCACAAACCTCCAAGTGGCCTCAACAACTCTAAAATAATGCAAATGACCAGCTGTCTGCAAGGAGCATAAATGCTTTCATTCCCCACCATCCAGTCAGAACTGAAGAAACTTCTTGGATGAGATGCAAAACGTCTTCAGAGAAAAACAAGAAAGTCCAGTTGCCTCTTGAAAAGGCACCTTTCGGACAAGCTCACGTACAACATTTTTCCCAGAAATGATTTTAAATACTCCATTCCAAATGAAGCTGGCTTTCAGCTGAAATTTTAGGGCTGTTGAAATTGACATGTGATGCCCCCATGTCCTATTTGTGGTAGATGACACTGACCACTGGTGATTTATTTCCCTTACCTGCATTGCAGTTTGTTAGTGGTACTTTCTCTTTTCAGTAAACTTGCTGGGATTATTCAGGCTGCATAGAGAGCAAGTCTAACATAACATAGTAGTTTGAACTTTATTTAAGCATACATTGATCTGTACTATTGGTGTACAACTGGGATGGACAATTTATTTTCTTACTGTATTGAAAATCAATTTTCAGCAAGCTAGGTAGCAAGGGAGATTCAAAGTTGTAGGTGAGGAACAATTAAGAAGGTCATAGGTTGCCTATCCTTGGTATAAAATATACTCTTGTGACTTTTCCACCAACCTTTTTTCCCTCTACCCATCCTTGGGCTATTTGCTACCTGTTTTTTTCTCTCCTCCAAATTTAGAGTAACAAAAGCAGTTAAAGATAAACCCCAGCAGGTTATAATTTCCTGTTTTATAGTAAACTTGGCAATATGAGGTTTCCTCCATTTTCAACCTTTGTAATCTTTCCCAGTTTCATCCAGTTTCATCTCTTGTTCTTGCTGGAAATCAGAGATAGCTGAAGGGAATTCTATCCTTGTTTATATTTCAGATGTTTTTTCATCTAGTTGTAAACTCTGTACAACTGTTCTAAGATCTGTATTTACAGAAGCCAAGCATTGCTGTCTATTGCCATATAATACCTCATTCAAAGAAGGGCACCACAAGCATTCTTGCAAAAGAGTCAAAGTTTTCCTCCAGGTGACAAAACTCTGGATCTTATCTGAACATTCCCGTTGGCTATAATTCGGCTCCAGTTAATGAGATATGAAATACAGCCAAACAGAAAGAGAGACTTGCCAGAGGCTCATTTTAAGGATGGGTATCTGGAGCTTTGCAAGCATAGGAGGTGATAGGTACAAAGCATAATTAGTTTAGTTAGATACGAGTTTGCTGAATCTCTTTCTAAGCTAAGTGCTAATTATTAATTCGTTCCAGTGTTATAAAAACCCAATAGAGCAACCTCAGTAAAGAGAAATGTGTGCTGATGGAGTATAGATCACCAACTGTTTGTTCAGCTTCTCCTTGTACTGATAACAAAGGCACAGGGGGAAGCGGAGGCCAATTACACAGATCATTCTACACAGCCTGAATACTTTTTTTTCTATCTCATATAAGAAATGGGCATAATATTTGAAAACATACCTAGTTCAGCACGAATTGACGACAGCAATGAATTTCTTCTTTTACTCTTTAAAAATTAAACAAAGGCAGTCATGGAGCTGAAAAAGAGCACCAAAGGTCTTGCTAAGAGCGTAATTTTTAAAGTATCAAAATGTATTTTGGATGTACTGCTAAAATACGTAGACAGGTATCTTCAGGGGAAAATATTTCCAACTGTTGCATTCAAAACAATTGCTGTAGTATGTTCATCCTGCATTTCAAACCTTCAAAATACTCCATATTTACAAATCTGGGGGAAGGCCAATATTATCTTCATACTGTAGAAGGGAGGAAAGAGGCTGCACAACAATTTCATATGTGAAAGTAGTATTTGGACCAATTCAAGCTACTGGGCTAGATCAACATACACAATAGCACAAGTTTTACAACAGAGAGGAAAAAAGACAGCAATTTTCAAGCTCGCCACAACATCAACTTTAAAAAACATCACTGGCAAAAACATTAACAGAAATGGGGGGGAGCAATCCATTTGAAACAGAAACTTTTTGGGAGGTAAGTTGTAATAAGATTGCTCTCAAGAGGCTTGTTTTGCACAGACTTAAGAAAAGCATACACAGATGACAGTTTAAGGATACAGAGAATCCTGCTATTACAGTGTAAACTCTTTAAGCACTTACACAGATACACAGCTTTTCACTTGCTTTCTCTATGTAACTGTTTGCATGGACATTTGACCAAGCTGGTTCCTAGAAATCCCTGGACTAGCTTATTTTCAATTCAAAAAGCCAGACAGACAGCAAAAGGCAGCAAAGAAACAGGAAACCTGAACTCTTTGCTGTACTTTGTGAACCACTAAGATAAATGCAACCAGCCAGGAAATGTCTGACCTTAACAAACTCGGCCTCCTATTAGATGAAAGCATCACATCATCATGATTGATAATATGCCACTTATTCAGAGCTTTCAAATATCCAAAACCATTTATAATCTTAATAATTCTTTTAACGCTGTTGACCCATCAAATCAGTAGAGTCTATACAAAACAGATTGCTTCATGAATTGCAGGAGTCGGATTCAGCAGAACAGTGAAATGACTTACGTGCCTCTTCATTGGACATTACAACTAGAAGGTATGACTTTGTAGCTCATCAGCCAATGACTGAAATAAGATATCACCAGTGAAACTTTTCGCTTCATACATGCTAACTCACGGGAAGGCAGCCTACACTTTCAGCTGCAGCCTGCTGAGAAGGGCAGTACAAATTGACAGATGTGTGGGTGTAGATAATTCAGAAATTCATCACTGGGTCTGCAGTTTCTCTCCAGGGTTTTTGACTAAAAACAATTTCCAGCTATACCTGGAGATTGGTCTCAGCACATGCTATGAGCAAAGCAGGTGTTTTCTGACTAAGTCTGACCTAAAGCTGTTGTTCCATAATCCTTCCTTTAGGAGAAAGCCCCACTAAAAATTCCAGGCAAATAACATCTAAGTTGTTATGCCTGGACTTGCATTTTAAGTTCCCAAAATTGTTTAATCCACATTTGTTTCTTCTCTTTTTCATGGTTATGTTGTCTTTCCCCTCCGTTTCATCAGTAAGAGGGCAATGGAATTATTACATTGATGGCAGGGGTTGGTTTTCTGTTGCTGGTTCAGTGTAACTGAAATGTGGATATATAAGTACATAGCAGGAGATAGATCAACAGAAGCCTCCTCTAGTCAGGTTCAACCTCTTCCATGCACTGCAGCCCCCAAAATCCAATTGGAACCTTAATTTTGTATCTGTCTCTCTTCCCCTCCCCCAGCTTCTTTGCAACTGAAGCGCTGTAATGCTGCTTATTGCACAGTAAGATGAAAATGATTATTCTCTCTTGACAGACCTGCACAGCTCTCTCTGCATTTAACCAGGGCCCTTACAAGTTGGATCAGGGAAGAGACACTTGATAGCTGAGGCTTCCATGGTTGAAATATTTGTGAAGTTAACGCATAATCTGAAAGCAGAAGCTAATAAATTATAAGGTGCTAATTGGGGCCCGAGTGGAGCTGTCAATCACATTTCCCTAAACACACAGAGACCCTCCTAACCTAAAAAGGCAAGAGAGTCTCCAAGAACAGCTCCCAGTTGTCACCAGCCA